ACTGGACTCTGGTACTCACCCCTAACTCAGGATAAGCAAGGCCACACGGGGGACCCAGCAAATTCAGTGGCCAGATTTTCCTGAAGACTGTTACTGCCTCTGGTTTCCTCCCTTTCTGGGAAGCGGGTGTAGTCAGACGTGCGTGCCTGCTTGATCGCTAGTACAGTTTATTCTTTCCATTCTAGAATCTCAGATGGTGAAATACAGATTGGCCCAGTGGGGCAGGAGAGGGAGATAAGCCTGGGGAGGTGGCAAGGGGACAAGCCATAAGGGGCCTTCAGTGCCAGGCAGAGGTGCTGGACATTATCCTGAGGGCACTGGGGAACCAAGCAGGATTAGAGGCTAGAGCAAGCCACGGACAGATGTGGTCAGGCAGAGATGCGGTAAGAAGAAACATCAAATGGCTACCTCTCCTTGGGTGGTCCTGGGAGCCTCACCCGTGCCCTCACATCTCTCTACTTCCCTCTCACCCACAGGAGTGGGCATCTGAGTGGAGGGACCAGGGCAGACAAACCTGTTCTGCCGGCCAAGGCCTCCTTGGCCAGGCCACACTGCTGCCAGTCCGGCTGAGTGAACTACATATGTTCTGCAGGTATGTGACCAGATGGAGCCAAGGAAGGTGGTGGCCGATGTGGGACAGAGGTGGCAGCCTGCCTACTGCCCTGTGAGAAGCGAGCTCAACCCCCAGGCCTCAGCACTTGCCAGGGCTGACCTGTTTTTACTGCTTAGGTAAAATTTAAAAATGTTTAGCAGAACAATCCTTTCCTAGATGCACATCTCATGTCTCATGGTGACGTTTTCCTTAACATTTATTTATTATTTTTGGAGGACAAGCAATAAGTACAGAATATTGGAAAATACCAAAATACCCAAAGAATGAAATAAAAGTCCCCTGCAAGTGTCTTTTCTTCCTTAGTAACTAAGGATAACCTTTGGGACACTTTGTTTTACTATTTTATTTATTTATTTATTTATTTATTTATTTATTTATTTATTTATTATTTATTTATTTATAACGTTTATTTTTGAGAGAGAGAGACACACACACACAGAGACAAAGAGACAGAGTGTGAATGGGGGAGGAGCAGAGAGGGAAGCACAGAATCTGAAGCAGGCTCCAGGCTCCCAGCTGTCAGCACAGAGCCTGACACAGAGCTTGAACCCATCAACCGTAAGATCATGACCTGAGGTGGAATATTAACTGACTGAGCCATCCAGGCACTCCTGTTTTACAATTTTAATGCTAACATGCACATATTTATATTTTATCAGAAAAGCAATCATACCTAGCATATTCTTTTGTAATCTTCTGCATTGAAAAATTTCCCAAGTATTTTCCCATGACATTACATATTCTTTTGCAATGTGATTTTTAAGGAAACAACTGATTTTATGCATACCAATTTCCATGAATTCCACAAGCACTGTTTTAAAGATCTTCAGATGAAAAACATTACCTCTGGGGTGCTTGGGTGGCTCAGTCAGTTGAGTCCGACTTTGGTTCAGGTCATGACCTCACGGTTCATGAGTTCGAGTCCCATGTCAGGCTCCGTGCAGGCAGTTCAGAGCCTGGAGCTTGGCGCCTGCTTCAGATTCTGTGTCTCCCTCTCTCTCTGCCCCTCCTCTACTTGTGCTCTGTCTCTCTTTTTCTGTTTCTCAAAAATAAATAAACATTAAAAAAAATTTTAAGTATATTAACTCTAATGTATGCTGAGCCCATGGGTTGAACATCCATCAGCAAAAGCACTAAGCATTTTCAAATATGACTTTACTGTTTAAAGCACAAGTATAGCAGTCACCCTGATGAATCAGCTTCTGTACATTGAGCATGGTGGAGCCCCAAACATTTGAAATTGGGGCTCATGGGGCACCTGGGTGGCTCAGTTGGTTAAGCGTCCGACTTCAGCTCAGGTCATGATTTCACGGCTCATGGGTTTGAGCCATACGTAAGGCTCTATGCTGCCAGCCAGCTCAGAGCCTGGAGTCTGTCTTCGGATTCTGTGTCTCCCTCTCTTTCTGACCCTTCCCTGCTCACCTCTCTCTCTCTCTCTCTCTCTCTCAAAAATAAATAGAAATTGGGACTCATCAGAGATGGTAGTAGCCTCAGCAGATGGTGTATTTCTGCACTTGATTCTGATTACACAGGATTGAGGAAATTCCCAATTCATAATAAAAAGGTCTATTAGTTCCTGAATGAATTGGGACCCTTAGAATGAATTGGGACCTATGCCCTGAGGTAAGGACTGTTAGAACACCCATTTCACAGATAGGTACACTGAGCCTCAGAGAGTTCAGTGGGGCTTGTGAGAACCTGGTGCTGCCTCTTTGCCTCTCTCTGAGAATCTAAGTCACAGACGGGTCACCTTGACCTTGCTCATGAGGACACACCTAAATTTAACATTAGGTTAAGCTGGAATTCCCCCCTTTCCTTGACATGTTTACAGTGCAGTCAACTATGTGCCCAGGATTTGGGAGAATTTTCATTCCAGAACTTGCAGGAAAGCCAGGTAGGTCAGTTAACAAGGAGCAGTTAAAATGTGGTGTGTATCACATCTGTGTGGTGTTTTAAAGCTCTGGCTTCCAAAGTAAAGCTACGTGTTGTTCAGTATTTTAGAGACCACTTTTCTTGGTTTTGAAAAATAATAGATACTCTTTATAAAAAGTTTTTTAAACATTAAAAAGATATGTATGGTAGGCAGACCCTTCTCCTGTCAGCCCCCCCACTCTGCTCCCCTCCTTAAAGGAGTCCTTTGTAGGGAAATTATATTTGTGTATACTGTGTGGTGTATATATATAATATATATTATATATAATATGTTTAATTTTTATAAAAATGAGATCACTTATGCATCCTGTTCTGCTCTTTGCCTTGTTTACATAAAAAGATGATCTGTGACACATCTATACCCTGGAATGCATTGCAACAGTAAAAAATGAAAAAAAGAAGTGAATTCATAAATACTGACTGGAGCGTGACCATAATATATAGTTAAGTGAAGAAAGCAAGTTACAAAGCAGTATCTTAAAGCATGATTCTATTAAATGTGTGTATGGTTATATAAATATCTATAGATGTGTCGATACAAACTTTTGAAAAGCTAAAAAGGACATTCATCATGTGTCAATAGCAATTATCTGGGGGGGGGTGGATTGGACCAGATTTGGGGAGGGGTGATGATTTCCTGGGGTGTGAAATATGGGATGCTTCCATTTCTAAATTTTTATAATCTTTAAGTAGAAGGGTTATAAATTCTTTTAAACATCATTCTAAAAACATTGACCCATTTCTTTAAAAAGACCAGCCCTGAATATGTTTTCCACAGGAATAAAAGTACTGTATGTGCAAGTTTTTCTACTCTGCATTTCTTGGAGATTTTTCCATGTTAAAACATTATTTTCGGGGCGCCTGGGTGGCTCAGTCGGTTAAACGTCCAACTTCAGCTCAGGTCATGATCTCACAGTTTGTGGGTTCGAGCCCCGCATCGGGCTCTGTGCTGATAGCTCAGAGCCTGGAACCTGTTTTGGATTCTGTGTCTCCTCTCTCTCTGCCCCTCCCCCACTCATGCTCTGTCTCAAAAATAAATAAAAACTATAAAAATTTTTTAATTAAAAAAACATTATTTTGTACTACTGTGTGGTATTCTAGAATATAGACATAGCATAGCTAACTTAACCAGTCCCCAACAGAGGCTCATTTAGGTCACTGTAATGAACATCCTTACATATACTTTCCAATTATTTATATCATTATGACATCTTTCTATATTGGCTCACGTAATTCTGTCTTCTTTTTTAAATGTTTTTATTTATTTTGAGAGAGAGAGAGAGAGAGAGACAGCATGTGAGCGGGGGAGGGGCAGAGAGAGAGAGGGAGACACAGAATCCAAAGCAGGCTCCAGGCTCTGAGCTACCAGCACAGATCCTGACGTGAGGCTCGAACTCACAAACCGTGAGATCATGACCTGAGCCGAAGTCGGGCACTTAACAGACTGAGCCACCCAGACACCCACTCTACCTTCTTATTAAACAGACACAGAGAATCCAGTCTAAGGATATAACTTGAGTTGTACAACCTGTCAATGGATGTGTCTCATTTTTCACCCTAACAAAAAAGCCTCTTTGACCATTACAAATTTTTTCAAAAAGTTTTAAATGTTTATTTTTGAGAGAGAGAGAGAGAGAGACAGAGAGAGACAGAGTCTGAGTGGGGGAGGCAAAGAGAGAGAGGGACACACAGACTCCAAAGCAGGCTCTGGGCTGAGTTGTCAGCACAGAGCCTGATGCAGGGCTCGAACTCACAAACTGTGAGATCATGACCTGAGCCGCAGTCAGGAGCTTACCTGACAGCCACCCAGGTGCCCCAGACCATTACAGATTTTTAAAAGTATATTTTAAAAAGTTGATATCTGAGCTCAGCATTTGCAGACCATCTGTGGAGTAAATAAGGATTGGGGGAAACTTCACTTGATGGAGAGGGAAGACAGACCCTCTTAGCAGGGCCTAATTACTGTAAAATGGACAGAGGATGGCCTGCTTCAGAGAGGACAAAAGAGCGAGGATGAGATTCCTAGAGTTTTGCTGTCATGTGCCCATTAGAGAACTTGCTGGCAGCTACAGCCCCTAGGAGGAGGTTATCTGTCACCCATACCATCCAACAGCCCTGAGCTCTAATTTTCCTTTGATAAACGACCCCCACTTCCCAATGCCATCCTTAGCATGAGTATTAATTCAGGTACCCTCCCTTCCCCAACCAAAGGATGGGCCTAGACTCTAAAGTTAAAGCTGTTGGGAGAGAGGCCTCCCTTACTGCTCTGTTGCTCAGCAATGAGAAAGCCCGTCTGAGAATGAAGCAGGTTTCCCTGAAACTTAGATCGAACCCCTGGATCCAGACATGCCTGAAGCCAGCAATACTGACTCGGTTACAGGAGCCAAGAAACTCCATGTTTTGTTTCAGTGCCAGTTGGGTTTCTGGCACTTCCATTGGAAGAGTCCTTGTTCATTTGCCTTTACCCCGGAATAAAACAAATTAATTCATTCAACCGGCATTTATTGAATATCCATGCTCAGCCCTCTGTTGGGTGATGCTGGGGGCCATCAGTGACCATGAGAGAGCTTGGTCCTCCCCTAATGACAACCCTAGTCTACCAGAGAATAAACAACCTGAAACTATTTAGCAATAACGGCAACATCTACCGTGGAGGAGGAGCTCGGGGAGCTATCAGAGAGGCGTTGGTGAGGGGGTGGGTGGGATCCCGGGAGGGTCCCCCGAGGACAGGACTTGAAGTTGACACTGAAAGGTGGGCCAGAAATCAGCAAAGGGCTAAGGGTCCGTGCACACATGTCCAAGGGTTTCAGGGCACCCCCAAGTCCCAGCAAGGCTCAGAAACCTGGTAAAAGGTGCTTGATGAGGAAGGAGGGAAGCTTGAGGGAGGCGGGAAGGAGAGAGGTGAGGCAGCCATCCAGGCCTCAGCCGGAGGAAGCAGGAACGGGAGAAGGAAGAGGCCGAGGTGTGCACGGGGCCTTCTGGTTTCTCACAACGTGGTGTAGAAGTACATGGCTATCAGCATCACAGGCAGCTGGAGGGGGAGGCAGACAAGTGAGGGGCGCTCCAGCCCCCCCACGCACATCCCACCTAACCCAGGGGCTCCCCACCTCTCACCGTCCACATCAGGATGGCGAACCCAAACCACGAGATGCCCCATGTGTAGCTGTCGATGGCATGGCCGATGTGCTCGAAGCAGCCCTGGGCAGGGGGTGAAAAGGGGGGGGTGTGAGAAAATGTCACTGTGTGCCCTTGGGAAGGTCATTTCCTTCCTCAAGCCTTGGTTTTCTCACCTGTGTGATGGGGAGTGTGGCTGAGGGGTTCTGGGGAACCAGGGACGTGATGTTGAGCCCACGCCCGGCACAGGTGGGTACTGCCCTGTTGGTGGCTATGCGAGTCTGGGGGCAGTCTTGTCTAGAGCTGGCTTGCCATGTCGCCCACCAGTTCCAAGGGTTTAAAATCTGCCTTTGGAGGGGCGTCTGGGTGGCTTAGTCGGTTAAGCGTCCGACTTTCGCTTAGGTCATGATCTCGCGGTTTGTGGGTTCGAGCCCCGCGTCGGGCTCTGTGCTGACTGTCAGCTCAGAGCCTGGAGCCTGTTTCAGAGTCTGTGACTCCCTCTCTCTCTGACCCTCCCTTACTCATGCTGTCTCTCTCTCTCTCTCCTAGAAATAAATAAAACATTTAAAAAAAATTAAAATCTGCCTTTGGGATGAGTGCAGTTTTGCTCCGTCCTCATTTAGGAATGAGGCCAAGTGGGGCCAGAGCCTCACTTCCACGTAGACTCCTGCCTCGATTTGGAAGCGGCAGAGAGCAAAGGTTCAGGGTGTGTGTCCTGGAGTCAGGCGGGACTGAATTGGGGACCAGATCTGCCGCATGTCTAACGGCAGGAATGATTCTGAACCTCTGAGCCTCAGTTTTCCCGTCTGACAAGTGGCGATCCTGCTGGACTGGCCTCGGAAAGCACTTCTGGCGATTCCGTGAGACGACACACAAGCACTCTGCACAGAGTCGGGCTTGAGAAATGTCTGCGTGACTCTAACAGTGGGCTGGTTTGCACAGGCTCCCTCTCCCTGGCACTTGATCTAAGACGTGGCTGAAGGGCCCCTCGGTGGCCAAAAGCAGCCAGAACAACCTCTGGGACTGGCTCTTCTTCTAGGCTAATCCCCTCTGGCTTCTCTCTCTGCCTCTGCACTCGCCTTGCACTAGTTAAATCACCTCGTTGGAGCTTGACATGAAATCCAGCCCAGGCTCCTTCCCTCACTAGCGAGTGAACTCCGTTTCATCATCTTTAAAACAGGATCATTCTAATCTTTACTTCCTAAGGCTAGGTTGAGAAATCGGAAAAAAACTTGAAACACCTATAAGAATGCTTGGCACAAATATATTTCTTCAAAGCAGAAAAAAAAAAAGAATGCCTGGCACAATGCAAAGACTCGATAAACGGTGGTTGGTGTTGCTGTTGTGTGATTCCTATTATTTTTTTCAAAAAAAAAATTAAAATGTTTTATTTCTGAGAGAGAGGCAGCGTGAGCAGGAGAGGGTCAGAGAGAGAGGGAGACACAGAATCTGAAACAGGCTCCAGGCTCTGAGCTGTCAGCACAGAGCCCGATGTGGGGCTCGAACCCACAAACCGTGAGATCATGACCTGAGCCGAAGTCGGACGCTTAACCAACTGAGCCACCCAGGCGCCCCGAGTGTGATTCCTATTATTGTTGTTGCTCTTATTCCCAGCCTGAGAAAAGTTGCAGGTGCCTCTCATGACTAGCAGAGGGAGGGAGGGGCAGATGGGGAGAGAGTAAGGGGAGCCAGAGAGAGGGGAGAGAAAGATAAAGCCAGAGAGGGGAAGAGGAGAAGGGAGTGGGAGGGAGGAAGAGCCTGAAGAACGAGAGGGGCCCAGACAGACAGGTGAGCAGCAGGGAGGGGCGCACCTTGGTGAACAGGTAGTCCGTGTGGCCCAGGCGGCAGCCTTCTTCATTGAGGGGGATGAAGTTGCCGGTCCGCCGACAGCACAATGGGGGCCAGGGGAACACCACCTCCGGGGTGGCTGTCCAGAAGGCTGATGTGAAGTTCACCCAATCCATGGGACCTGATGTGCCACAGCACTCTTGCTGGAGAGAAGGGCAGGGGTGAGGCAGGCTCCTGCTCAGAGAGGACAGCCGCTCACCTGAGGTTGCAGAGTGAGGAAGCTGGGCCTGACTTTCCCATGTCCTTGGCTTCAAAGTGGGTGGGGAGGGACAGGTAGTGTCTGTGTGTATGAACAGAGAGCAGAAGATATTTGTCCCATCACCAAGGGGCTGGTGGGGGATTTGGATCAAACCCACGGTTTCGTTACTCATTTTAAAATTCTTTTGAATTAGCTGTCATCAAAACCTGAAGTAAATGACATCCAAAGGCAGATTTTTGGTTTCTTTGGCCCCTGAGGGTGTTTAATTTGTGGCCCTGAATGATAAAAACATAGGTTCCTTCAACTATGAGTTCTCATCTTGTCTAGCTGTATGACTCGAACCAAATTGGGACCTCAGTTTCCCTTGGGTCCTCAATATTCTTCTCTTGTGCCCTATCAGATTGGGCTTAATTAAGAATGTGGCTTCTGGGGTGGCTCAGTCAGTTAAGCATCCGACTTCGGTTCAGGTCATAATCTCGCAGTTCATGAGTTTGAGCCCCGTGCTGGACTGTGTGCTGATGGCTCAGAGTCTGGAGACTGCTTTAGATTCTGTGTCTCCCTCTTTCTCTCTCTGCACCTCCCCCACTCATGCTCTGTCTCTGTCTCTCCCAAAAATAAAACACTAAAAAAAAAAAAAAAAAGAAGAAGAAGAAGAAGAAGAATGTGGCTTCTGGTAGCTGATGGTCTGGGTTTCAATCCTGGCTCTGTGAGCTACCAGCTGTGTGACCTTGTGTAAGCCACTCAACCTCTTACCTCGGTTTCCTCATCGCTAAAAAGCTGATCTCCCGTATGGAGTAGTTGTGAAGAATAAGTAAGCTTTAAAAGTGCTTTGAACAGTACTAAACAAGTTAGTACTCATTACATATTCCTTATTGTAATTACCATCATTATTAAGAAGGTATGTGTAATGGTTAAGAACAGGAGCTTTGGATATAGGCTGCCAGATTTTGATCCCAGCTTACCAACCATGTGACATTGGGCAAGTGACATTCATTCCCTTTTTTGGGCCTGTCTCCTCATCTGGAAAATGACCATGACCCGCCCTCCCCACCTCCCATAAGAACCGTAGGAATGGGTATCATCTACCAGTGGGCACAATAGGAGCCCTATCTACCTCGGAGTGCCAGGTCTTCTAGCCCTCGCCACCCCTTCACCCCCCTCAGCCCGCTCTGTCCACCTCAATCATGATGCGGTCCCAGAGGCGAGTCAGTTCCCGGCCTTGGTCCGTGTCCGCACTGTAGAAGGTCAGCATCTGCTTGGTAATCAGGGATGGGTTGGACACCATCTGCAGAGGTCCAAGGAAAGAATAGGATCCAGTGGGGCTGGGTGGGGAGGGAGGTCAACCTCCACCCCACCCCCAGGCCCAGACCCTTACCACCCTCCCCTCAAGTCATGCCCCTCCCCTGGCCTCTGCCCAGCTCACATAGTCGCGGTGAGTGTAGGACGTGATGCAGGAGGCGCACTCAAAGATGTAGACAATGAGCATGAGCACCAGGTACTGGGGAGAGATGAAGGGAGAGACAGGGACAGCCCCGTCAGGGCAAAGCCTCTATGAAGTCACACCCCAACAAGGGACGGATGGATGGATAGAAATGCAATTCTATTTTATTTTAATGTTTTTATTTATTTATTTTTTTTTTGAGAGAAAGACAGAGCACGAGCAGGTCAGGGGCAGAGAGAGAGGGAGACACAGAATCCAAAGCAGGCTTCAGGCTCTGAGCTGTCAGCACAGAGCCCATTGGGAGGCTTGAACTCACAGACTTGTGAGATCCTGACTTCAGCTGAAGTCGGATGCCCAACTGCCTGAGCCACCCAGGTGCCCCTAGAAATGCAATTTTGAAAAGAAGTGTAGGACAATGTGAATGGTAGCACCTATGTGGTGGGTGTACAGGTGTTCCCCGTTCAAGTCTTTCGCCTTTTCTGTATTTTTGATATATTTCTGTATTTTTTATAATAAAACGTTAGGAGAATATGAAGTCAACAGAAATATGTAAAGTATTTCCTGAAGTTAATTATTGGCGTGGGTGCGGTAAAATAAATGTCTACTATAGGGGGGGAAAAGACATTCTTGAGACAACCAGGGACATTTGAGCACAGACTAGATATTGGAAGAGAGATATGAAGGAATTTGGGTGGATTTTGTAGGGTGTGCCAGTGACATGGTGGTTGCGCATAAAGAGAAATAAGCTCTCTCTTCACCCCATGCCCTCTCCCTTAAAGCAACAAGGGGGTGGAATGCGGCTGTGCTAACTCCTCTGCCTTGAGCTGAGATGATGAGGTATAACACGCCTGACTGCTCTAAACAGTGTCCTCATCACTCAGAGAAATGTGCAAATATTTATAGGTTAATGACTTGGTGTCTGGAATGCACTTCAAAATACCCCAGAAAGAAGAATGTGGGCAGGCAGAGGGTGGAGCAGAGGGGCCAAAGTTGGCCAAGTCTGTGGTCGATATCATTGAAACCAGGTGATGGGGACGCAGGGCTCATGCCATTCACTCTGCTCTATGTTTGAAATTTCCCATAAATCTCCCATAAAATTCTGTGTCTTACATGAAAAGATGCTCAACATCACCCATCATCAGGGAAATACAAATCAAACCACACGAGATACCACCTCACACCAGTCAGCATGGCTAAAACTAACAACTCAGGAAACAACAGATGCTGGCGAGGATGTGGAGAAACGGGCACCCTCTCGCACTGCTGGTGGGAATGCAAATTGGTGCAGCCACTCTGGAAAACAGCGTGGAGGTTCCTCAAAAAATTAAAACTAGGACTCCCCCATGACCCAGCAATAGCACTGCTAGGAGTTTACCCATGGGATACAGGAGTGCTGACGCATAGAGGCACATGTACCCCAATATTTATAGCAGCGCTCTCAACAATAGCCTAAGTATGGAAAGAAAAAGAGAAGGAAAGCCTTTCCAAGGCTCTATGTTACAATACAGCCCAAGTCCTTACCAAGGCTTGGCAAGACGCACCCAGTTGGCCCACCTTCCCTTCCTCGCCCAGTGCCCACTGCTCACTGTACCCACTCCATCCACCTTCATTTCCTCTCCCTCCCCCACCACCCCCACTTGGCTCTGACTTCAGAGCCTTTGCTCTTGCTGTTCCCTCCTCCAGGCATGCTCTTCCTGTAGACACAGGGCTCGCTCCATCACCTCCCCGAGGCCTTCGCTTTCTCCAGCTGCAGGCCTTCCGGGCCCCAGCTCCAGGCCTCCCTTCCCTCTTCCCTGTGCACTGTGGGTCCCATTGGAGCATGCTCCCCGGGGACAAGGGCTTTTCTGTTTTCTCACCAGATAGGCCCAGTGCCTAGCTCAGAGTTTGGCATGTGGTTCTTGCTCAAGAAACGTTTGTTGATTGAATAAGTAGCTGCTCTTGGGAATCTAAAAGGCCCTCAATTGTGGCGGAAGCACCATGTTGCCTCTGCATCAGTGGGGCCGGGATTAGAGGCCCTGCCTTCCCGACCACCAACGCTTCTGGCCTTTTTGAACCCCCATTTCCTCAACTGGTAAAGGGGTAGAGAAGCACTAACTTCAGAGGTTTCTGGAGAGATCGGGGGAGCTCATTTTCTAAACTGCTCAGCCTAGTGCCGGGCACATGAGAGATGCTTGGGAAGTGTGGGTTATTATTGTGGTGGTTATTCCTGGCAGCAATTCAGAGCGCAGGCTCAAGCTGAACAACTTGGGTTCAAATCCCGGCTCTGTCACCTACTCGCTGTGCAATCCTGGATAAATGACTTCACTTCTCTGAGCCTCAGTTTCAACTCTGTCAAATGGGTTCACGATCAGGATGGTATCTCACGGTAGGTTGTGAGGAATAAATGAACCAATCTATGTAAAACGTTTAGGATGTAGCGCGCACTCCTTAAATGGTAGCTCTGCTATTAATACTGTTGTTGTTTTGACAGAGTCATAAGCAGACTCTGGGGACCAACTAGCTGAGGTTTGAATCTCAGTCCTGCCACTCAAGAATCATCCTCCTGGGCAGAGCTTCCTCGCCTCCCTCTCTGTGCCCCAATTTTCTTTGTAAATTGAGGATAGTAGCTGAGACTGTTACTGGGTTATGGGAAGATTAAACAGGATGACAGGCCCAAGTGTGGCACCGTGCTGAGCACACACTCATGGCTGCGGCGGTGGTTGTTACTATGAGTCTGTGTTGATGATCTCCGTGACCACCCGTCCCCTCGCCCTCCCCCTGGGGCCTCACCGTGAGGATCATGGACCGGCGGCGGCAGAGCGCTGCGCCCACCCCAAAGCTGGCCACCACGAAGAAGGAGAAGCCGCAGAAGATGGCAATCCAGGCGCCAGCGAAGACGTCATCCTTGCCTGAGACGCCCATCAGTGGGTACACGCGGTACTGGTCAGCTGTCACCCATACCGTCTCAGCAAACAGAGCCAGGCCTGACAGCTGGACAGGGCAACAGGTTAGAGAGGCTGGCTCAGGCATGGCAGCCGGGGCTGCGGGACTCTCCGTGAGCACGTTCCCCTTCTGAGCCTCCACCGTCCTGGGTAAAGGGGGCACGTAAAAAGAATGGCAAGGACCTTGTCTTCTATGAGTGGGGATGGGGCTGGGCAGAGGCCAGAAGGGAAGGGCTGCCCAGCCTGACCCGTACCCCTCGCCCACATCCCAGCTGCCAGTTGCTTCAAGGATATAAGGAGATGCCACAGCCCAGATTGCATGACCGGAACTGAGGAGATGCTGGGTCACACGCCCTCTCTCAATAGTGTTGTTATTCCCGAGCTGAGGAATCTGGCCAGGGCCAGAACAACTACAAATGTATCAACCCTTTGGTCCGCAATTCCGCTTGCAGAAATCAATCCTGCTCGTGCAGGAAAATCATAAACCCCCAAGGTTATTCCCTGTGTCACTGTGTAAAAGGAACCAGCATGCCATGCTGCGGTTGTGGCAAAGGGCAGGGAGGCTCTCTGAGGACTCATGTGGAGTGGCCTACGGATTATGTCAGCAGGAAAAACTGGGAGGCTCAGAACAGGATGTGGAATGAGCTATATCTTGGACAAAAAGGGAGGAAAATAGGCATATATGTTGCTTAACGAAATGTTGGAGAACTAAAAATCTAGGTACCTAGAGGGATGGGAGATGGGGAGCAAGGAGAGAGGAAGACCTCTCGGGGGATACCTTTGACAGTCATCACGCTAACACTCAGAGTATTTAGTGTGCACGTGCCAGGCACTGTCCCAGTAACTGCTCTCTGTGTACAGTCATTGTCACCCGCTGCAGAGCACTGTGGTTGTTATGGCCAACACAAACAGCAACCACGTGCACCACACTCCACACCAATCTGATAACTTACCTTAAACTCTCGGCATTCCTATTCTATCGCTGTCTACAGATGAGAAAAATGAGGCCCAGAGAGGTTACATGGCTGGCCCCAGGTCCTACAGTATAAAGTGGCAGAGCTGGGATTTGAACCCAGGCTGTCTGGCTCCAGAGCCGGATATAGACATCACATTTAAAATAATTAAATAGTAATTAAAAGACATTGCTATGGTTAGTATTCCTTACTATGGGCCTCCTCTGCCCCGACTGGCACTTTATGTCTATAATCATGTTAATGAGGACAGCATTTGTCAAGCACTCTTGTGAAGCTGAGGGTCATATATGGATTAACCCACACAACAGTCCCCGCAATGGGGACATAATCTATAGACAGGGAAGCAGGGGGGGAAGTAGAGTGGCTTGCTGGAGTTTACAAAGCTGGGGAGCCACAGAGCTGGGATTGGAATCCAGGCTGCTCTGGCTTGACAGCCTGCAGCCATGGCCATCCTGGGAGTCCAGGGCCCTGAGCCCCCAACCCCAGGCACTGGGCTGTCCCCTCCTCCCTGCCCACTCACTGGGGCTCCCAACCCTGGGGGAGGTCTCACCAGAATAATGATGTTGCCCACCACGAGCAGTCCCACAGCAACTGGAGACCCCTTCTCTGCCTCTGCTGCTGCAGAAGCCATAGTCCTGCAGGGGACGCACAGCAGGAATGAGGCCAGGAAAGGGGGGAAGCCCCAGCCAGCCCCGCCAGCCTCACTCCACACCCCAGCTGCCTGGGGATGCTCCTGGCTCCCTGCTGAGCCCAGACTGGTGCTGAATGAATCCCCCCACAACCCTGATGGCGGGCCACTTTACAGACAAGGAAACCAAGGCTCAGGCAGGGCAGTCACTGGCCAGAGCTCAGTGCTGGCCTCCCTGCACCTCATAACTTCCTGGTTTCTCTAGGTCATCCAGACCCCCCAGAGCCCTCCTCACCTTCTCTTTCCGAAGCCTCTGTGGCCAGCCCCTCCCACAGTGGCTCCCTATATATGCCCAGGCCCCTCCTCAGGCCAGTCTCCCAGGAAGGGGGAAGGGAGTCTGGAGAAGGAGGGGACAAGAGCTCAAGCAAGCCGACCAGCATGAGAAAACAGATTTATGAGCACCCCACCCCCCACCCCAGGTGATTTATAGACCTGAAACTCAAGATTGTGCTAATGTCTGGCTACGGGAGCAGGGGGTTGTGCCCATGGCCTCTGGTTCCCAGGCTGTCTTGGTGGGGAAGGGGGCTGGGGTTGGGAGGGTGAGCGTACCACCTGATGCCTCTCCTTAGGACATGGGACTTCTTGGGAGCAGGGGAGAGATCCAAGTCGGATCCACATGTAAATCCTCAATTCCAGGACTGCTTCCTGTGCCGGTGGCCCCACCTCTCTGAGGCTGGGAGCCCATGGGGAGGCCCAGACGGGGACCCCAGCAGGCTGGGACAGAGCTGAACCAAGGCAAGGAGGTGGGCGGAGAGGGAGCAGGTGGGAGGGCAGCTCAGAAGGCTGATTATATGGGCTGCAGGCTAAGGGGAGCCTCTGGCTTGAGATAGGTGTGTGATGGGAGTTCCAGATGAGGGCACAAGAGGGGGAAGAGAGTGTGCTAGAAAAAGAGAGATGGCACACTGAATGGGCTTGGTGGGAGAAAAGTAACCCCACCCCTCCCCCTCACATGGACAAAGCGGGGTCTCAGTGAGGAGCCATAGGCGGAAATGTCTTCAGGCTACAGAATCAAAAGAGACCTACACTGAAATCCCAGTTCTGTTCATCTTGGCCGCGCAACTTGGTGTGTGCATTTGCCCATCTGCAGAATGGATATCATCAGACTACTTATAGCAGTGAGAATTGAATGCAGAGATGTCCGCAAAGGATGCCCTCTGGGCAGCGGGTGTACAGCAAAAGGCCAGGCTGCACCAGCAGGGTTCCCAAGAGGCCCACTTACCTTCCAATGGCGCCCCCTTGTGGCATGAAGCTGGTTCCTTAGGTGAAAATGGCTTGGGGCACCCAGCCCTTCCCCAGAACTTGTCAAGAACCGAGGCATTTACTGTGTTTTCTCTCTGAGCTGTAGCTCCCTCAAGTGTACGTGAAATTGGCAAACAAATGGAACTTAAATTTCACTGTTAAGACAATGGCTTGGTAATAAGACACATGAGATGTGTTCCAGTTAAAATTAAAATAATCTGGTTTTTAGTCATCCACTTTACATTTAAAGTAGTTTTTCTCAGGGCACCTGGGTGGCCCAGTCGGTTAAGCAAGCCTACGACTCTTGATTTGGCTCAGGCCGTGATCTCTCAGGATCGTGGGTTGAGACGCCTGTCAGGCCCCCCCCCCCCGCACCCCACCCCCCCGGGGTGGAGCCTGCTTGGGATTCTCTCTTGGCCCCTCCCCCACTCTCTCTCCCTCTCTGTCTCTCAAAATAAATAAACATTAAACATTAAAATAATTTTTCTCTGTCGATTTACATTTATGTTAAGGAATAATAAGAAAATTTAAATAACAATACATGACCTGTCAAGAACATTTTGTGAGCTTTAGCTAAAATAGCTTGGTAATAATAGAGCCGTATGAATAGTATGAAATATTTTTATTTTCAAATAGTTGGTAACTGTTAGTAGTTGGAAGTTACATAAAATGTCTTGGCCTTTTGGCTAAAATCAAGTGTAAAATGTCTAGTAAAACCAAAAAGTATCAATGGGGCATTACTATGTCACCAGTCATAAAAGGGATCCATTCTGTTCTGAAACATGAAGCTAGTGCAGTTTGATGTCAAACTTGAATTTTCATGATTCTTTATTCTTATTAGATAAACCAGTCTTCAAACAATACATTTTGAAGTGCTAATTACTTCCTTTAAATAGTTATAAATGCCAAGGTCTCCTAAAGGTGACATATGCCTATCGTATAATCCAGCCATTTGTTCCTGGGAATCCCTCCATTTCCATCTACCAACCGCTCTGAATGTATTCATATCAGCCTTGAACTGGAAACCACGTCCTCAACAGTAGAATGGATGCATACATTATGGTACATGTGTACAAGGGCTACTCTTCAGCAATAAAAGGCAATGAACTATTGATACTTGCAACTACCAGGATGAATTTCGAAAGCATTACACTAAATGAAAAAAGCCACACTCAAAAGACTGTAACTGTATGATTTTAGATGTGAGGTTCTAAAACTGGCAAAACCAATCTAGAGGGATAAAAGTGAGGGGAGTGGTTATCCCTGGGGCATTGTGACTGGGTAGGGGGACAAGGAGGGGATTCTCTTTCTTGATTTGGACACTTGTTACATGGGGCTGTTCAGACTGTGTGAAAGTATGTCAAGCTATATACTCACAATAAGTGCACTTTTCTATGTTTATGTATATATTTTTAATTGCAATGCATTTCAAGAGGGTAAAATCTTGGGGCACCTGGGTGTCTCAGTAGGTTTGGCACCCGACTCTCGGTTCAGCTCAGGTCATGATCTCATGGTTTCATGAGTTCGAGCCCCACGTTGGGCTCTGCACTGAGGGTGTGGAGGAGCCTGCTTGGGATTGTCTCTCCCTCTCTCTCTCCCTCTCTCTCTCTCTCATTCCCTCCCCCACTCACTCTGTCTCTGTCTCTCTCAAAATAAATAAATAAAACTTAAAAAAATTAAAAAGAGGATAAAATCTTTTCAAAGAGACTTATTCAATGTGTTAAAGGGGTGGTTTCCAACAGGGGCATGAGAGATGAGTTCAGGCTGTTTATGGATATGAAATGAAATGGCATGAATCAACATAACCAACATCTAATGAGACAATGATCTAGTTCTCATTGTGATAGGGTCATCGAGAAAGGCTCAGTAGTTTGACGCTGTGTCCTAAGCACCTCTCTAACCTTGCGTAGAGCTGGTCTCAACAGGCCTCAGGGTCTGACTAGAGGTAATATATTTTCGTTGTATCTATTTTTAAGACGAGATGTTTTGTTTTCCATGGTCAGTGGTGAAAGTCTCCTAAAACTTTTGTTATTAAATATTCCAGGTAGACAAGAAAGTGTAGAGAATCCTTGTAACAAACACCTACATCCTCACTACCAGCTTTGTCAAATCTAAGTCCTTTTCTATATTCACTGAAGATTTTCTTTTTCACGCGGCATTCATGGCAGATGGCATTTTAAGCCACTTGATCTCACCCCAGAGATAACTTCTTTTTCGGATCTCAGGTGTCATGGGTTGAGTTAATTCCATACCCTCAGCTCATTATTCTCCACAAGATAGCTCTTGTTTTACATTTAATTTATTCCCTTATATTCCCATATCCCAGTCTCTTGCAGTGCCCTCTACTGGCAAACATTCGCGTATGTTCGGATGTATCTTTTTAGTTGGCTGTGTTCGTTTGATGAATACTATTGCTTTCTGTGCATCTTTTCTTTTCTTAAAGTTTTTATTTATTTAATTATTTTGAGAGAGAGAGAGAGTGTGTGCACAAGGAGCAGAGAGAGAGGGAGGGGCTCCTCTCTGTCAGCGCAGAGCTCGATGTGGGGCTCTATCCCATGAACCATGAATGAGATCATGACCTGAGCTGAAATCAAGAGTCAGGACGCCTGTCTGAGCCACCCCTGGGCAAGTGTTTTCTAATTTATAGGCCCATGATTGTGTGCATTCTTTTCTCCCTTAGCATTGATCTTAGGATCCACCCACGTTACTCTGGACACATTGAGTTCACAGTGTCTCACGGTTGCTTGGGGCACCCCTGGTGTGGCCCTTCCACAGTTGACTGTCTCCTCCCCAGTGAGGACACTCAGGCTCCTTCCAAACTCCCTCCCCCACCATGACCCCTATGAATAATGCTGCTGTGGGCACCCTCATGCATGGCTCTTGGAGACTTACATGTCTCTTTCCAAGGAGGGTTGCTGGGTCATGAATATGTATGTGCCAGGTTGCTTTCCACAATGGTTGTCCCGTCCACACTCCAGCTGAGAGTTCATGCGAGTTCTTGCACTCTTCCATCTCTGCTGACACCCGGCATTATCCAACTTTCTAGTTTTTGTCAGAGTAACTCAGTGTAAAGTGGCACCTGCCATTACTTCAGTTCTCACTTCTCTTACTACTAATGATCTTGAGCATCTTTTCAAATGTGTGTGAGCCTTGTTGTTGTTTTTTTTTTTAATTTTTAATGTTTTTTAAAAGAATTATTTCTGAGAGAGAGACACAGCATGAACAGGGAAGGGTCAGAGAGAGGGGGAGGCACAGAATCCAAAACAGTCTCTAGGCTCTGAGCTGGCTGTCAGCAGAGACCCCGACGCGGGGCTCGAACCCATGAACCGTGAGATCATGACCTGAGCCGAAGTTGGACACTTAATTGACTGAGCCACCCAGGCGCCCCGTGTGTGAGCCTTTTTGGTTCCCACTCCCATGCACGCTTTCATGTTTTTAATATATGTGCATAGATTTATCAATATATAGTTCTATGTAACTTTGCACTCTGGACACACTGTTATCTTCCATGGCCTTATGCAATTGACTTTTTCACCTCAACATTGTGCTTTCGAAATTTACTTTCATAACATAGGTGGCTCTAGCTCATCTATTATTTGCAACAATATTTCATAGTTTAAATTTCCTTTCTAAATTCATTTTGGCAAAGACGATAGAGAGCAGCAGCAGCACAGAGCTTTGAAGTCCATCTGCATCTGAAACCT